CAGGTGCTTCTCCTGGTCTCCCATGGGGTGCAGGGCCCAAGCACTTGGGCCATCCTCCACTGTACTCCCGGGCCACAGCAGAGAGTTGGCCTGGAAGAGGGGCAACCAGGACAGAATCCGGCGCCCCGACCAGGACTAGAACCCGGTGTGTCAGTGCCGCTAGGTGGAGGGATTAGCCTAGTGAGCCGCGGCACCGGCCACAATGTTTTTTAAGGAGAGTCTTCGGATGCATTCTGTTTGCCTTCCACAGGGTTCAATAGCAACCCTGTAACGTCCTCAGATATTGCACAGTCCTGGCTCGCTGTCTTCTTCCAGAACTTGCCCTCTGTGGATACCTGAAGGCAGGTGTTCCTCTGGCTCGGTTCTCAGATCTTTTCCATTCTTGTCCACCTGCAAGGCTTCACTCAGCAGGCCTACGAAGATGACTCCGCAATCTGACATATTCAGAAACATCTCAAGCTCAAGCATCCGAAGTAGACCCTTCGCATCTCAGTCCGTCAGATCAGCAAGCACTTGGCTTCAGCTTCGCCTTTCTCACCCCTCCTCGCCCCTCTCGTCTTCCGTTGCAAATCTCAACAACACTTGGGTTCCTCTTCCTTTGTCTACCATTTAAAGCACATATCTGCCAGTCTCCTCTTTGGTCCTTCCATTCTATCTTAGTGGTTCTTAACCCTTCTGGGACAACAGACTCCTCCGATAATTAGCTGAATGCTAATCCACAGCAACAAATGCTATAGAATATTTACCGAAAAGACAGAAATACAAAATGCATGCTTGCCGACTCACCTAACCAGTGACCCCAGTAATGATCTGTGCTCGCCCACTCCAAGCCTTTAACTACCATTTACACAGATTTTCATCCCAGCTCCAGATGCCTTCCGGACAGAAGCTTGGGGGGTGGGGGATGGGGGGATGTCCACGACATCACCTGGTCTGGCTTTGGCAAGGCAAACACAGGTGGGGCCCGAAATTCAAAAAACCTTTAGCAGGCTGATTTTTAAGTCGATAATTTTATGTGGCCTGAGAAACCTGCCTGGCTACAGCCAGCATCCCCTCTGGATCATGGAACTGCCAGCCTCCAGGACTCCTGGAAGGAACAGCTATTTCGTTCCCTATCGTTCGTAAGGCCCTGTCTCTCTCCATCTCAGAAATTCCCAGGGGCAGGATTTGGCATAGCAGTTAAGACTCCACTTGGAAGAGCTGCATCCCTTATCAGAGTGCCTGGGCTCAAGATGCTACACTGCATCTGATCCAGTTGGGAGACCCAGAAGCAGTTCCAGGCTCCCGACTCCTGCCTGGCCCAGTCCTGGCTGTTGCAGGCATTTGGGGAGTCAATCAGTGATGAAAGATCTCTTTTTCTGTCTCTCTTCCTGGTTTTCAAAAAATTAAACCTTTAAAAGATACAAATTCCACCTCCCTGGCCCTCACACTTTGCTTCTGCTCTTGCACCTTCCCATGACTTTCAACAACAGCCCCTGTTAGATTCTGTCTACACACAGCCCCTCACCCATCCTCTGCCTTCCCTGGATACCGCTCCTTGGGAGGGAACACAGCCTAGCACCCTACTGCTTTTCCCTATCATTCCCACCAGTTTGTCACTCTTTCTCAAAAATTTGAAACTGACCAAGTGACTGCCTCTTTCAAAAACATTAATACTTGCCCACTGCACAAATACACTGTTAAATTCAGGTTTCTAAGAGTGCCCTGCGGTTTGCCACCTAAGCACGTTCCCAGGATTAGACTCTACAGCTCAAGCTGTCACTTGCTCCTATTATCTGCCTGTCAAAAACACACCCACTCTTAAAGGCCCAACTCAAACCCCATTCTTCATCTTTATAGCTGGTAGCTTTGGGATCCGCAAGGAGGGAAGGCCTACACTTCCGGGAATGGAGAGGCCTACTTCCGGGGAAGAAAGTCCTTGTCAAGATCCCTGCAGGTGCCTAAAGGTCAACCAATGAGGATCAGACCCGCCTCAACCTTTAACTCCCATGCCCTGAATCTATAAAAGGAGCTCTCCCAATCTTTGACGCGCGACTTCCCCGGCCCCCGCTCTGTTGGGACCGGGGAACCTCGCCCGGGAGCGGAACCCCAATAAAAGCCTGTGAATTAATTGATTCGTCTGCCTGGGAAGATTTGTTGTGCACCTGGACACCTTACAATAGCCTCCACATAATGATCAGAGAAAGGCTCTGACTAAAATAATCAGAATTACTAAGAAACTAATTCAAAAATTGAAAAAAAAAAAAAACAAAAAACTTGCAAATAGCCAAAACTCTAAGTATTTCTAGAATCACTGTTGTTTTTTTAAATCGCTATTCAATATTAACATTTTAGGGCCGGTGCCGCAGCTCAGTAGGCTAATCCTACGCCTTGCAGCCCTAGCACACCGGGTTCTAGTCCCGGTCGGGGCGCCAGATTCTGTCCCGGTTGCCCCTCTTCCAGGCCAGCTCTCTGCTGTGGCCCGGGAGTGCAGTGGAGGATGGCCCAAGTGCTTGGGCCCTGCACCCCACGGGAGACCAGGAGAGGCACCTGGCTTCGGATCAGCGCAGTGCACCGGCCGTGGCGCGCCGGCCACGGCAGCCATTGGAGGGTGAACCAATGGCAAAAAGGAAGACCTTTCTCTCTGTCTCTCTCTCACTGTCCACTCTGCCTGTCAAAAAATAAATAAATAAATAAATAAATAAAAAATTTAACCACGAAGTCCTCCATAACCCCAGCACTGTATTTATCAAAAGCCAAACAATGTGCAGTATAGATTAACGGCAGGTTGTATCACCAACTTGCAATAATCTGTAATCTGGGCCCACGATTCAAATGTCAATTATATTTGTTTTATTTCAAAAGAGAAAATTACAGCAAGAGAAGTTAGCACTTCAACTGGAGACAGAGGTTGGATTAGTCTACAGCAGTGACAGAAACAGCTTCTAAATCGACATCACCCTCAGATTAAAGAAAAAAATCTCATCAGCTAAGGGAAAAAAATGCTTTCAACTGACATATCCTAAAGATTTTTTTTCAGTTCATATTTTATATAATTAAAGGGGGGAGGGGTGTCAAAGGGCATGACGGGCAATCCTGAGCCTCTCATGAGATAGTCACTGGTGTACTCACCAGCAGGCATGACAACAATAACACGTGTGACACAGAAGGGATACCAGGGGCAGTACTTTCTTTATTTTTTAAATTATTTTTTAATTTTTTGACAGGCAGAGTGGACAGTGAGAGAGAGAGACAGAGAGAAAGGTCTTCTTTTTGCCGTTGGTTCACCCTCCAATGGCCGGCGCGGCCGGCGCACCGCGCTGATCTGATGGCAGGAGCCAGGTGCTTCTGGTCTCCCATGGGGTGCAGGGCCCAAGCACTTGCGCCATCCTCCACTGCACTCCCTGGCCACAGCAGAGAGTTGACCTGGAAGAGGGGCAACTGGGACAGAATCCGGTGCCCCGACCGGGACTAGAACCTGGGGTGCCGGTACCGCAGGTGGAGGATTAGCCTAGTGAGCCGCGGCGCCGGCCTCCAGTACTTTTTCAGAGCCTAATTTCTTTCAGGCCTGACCTAATTTCTCTTTTCACTTCTTAGCTGGGGTGGGGGTGGGGGTGGGGGGAAGTCATGCTAATTTTCACAGCTGTATACTGGGGAGCAATTCGCTCCTAAAGCAAACGAAAACATGCAGGATTCAATTATTCAAAAATAATTCCAACTACTTCTATCTAGTCAAGGTGATTGGTAAAGCAAGTGCTCCATGGCATTTCTGAAGTCATCATCACTCAGATTTGCATACGTTTCTTAAACAGACTCGCACACAGCAGTAAAAGAGGCTAAAAATCCCGAAATTATCACTGATGCTATTTTAAGGGACGCTGGGTGTACCACAAAGATCTCAGGCTTCAATCTCAAGACTGACACTTTCTTCTATGACCTTAGAAAATTGGCACCTAACAGAGGGATATTACCAGCTTTTCCTTTGGGGTGGGGGGGCTGTTCAAATAAAATACGGATGTGGCACACAGTAAGGGGCACGAAGCAGTCCACAAATTAGTGCTCAGTTACTTCATTCATCAGGAAAAGACACACTCATGAGACTGAGAAGCAGGAGAATCTACTTCTGCACGAAGCGCCTCTTCCGAGGGAGCCTTGCGTGTGACTGTGCAAAAAAAGTCCCCGAAAGGCGGAATGTATACACTGACCGCTAAAATACCAACAGCAAAACCCTCGGTCCTCGGGCCAACACGACAGGATGCATCTATACTGGTTAGGAGCTCACCTGAGAGGAGGGAAGAGAGGGAGAGGGAAAAAAAAAAAAAAAAAAAAAGAGCAAATTGGGCCCAACTGCAAGCAGATTTAATAAACCAAGAGGGATGCCGGCTGCTTATTCCTGAAACGCACGGTAACACATGCATGCCCGTTTAAACATTAAAAAAAAAACAAAACTGCAAGACGAATTCTTCATACAAGCCACACTGCCGACCTGGGTGCTTTTTCGGAAGGCCTGCTCAGGCGAGCACCAGCTAACGACCGCTGAGGGACAGACACTTCACGCACAGCCGGCCGCCGTTCCGCACACACGCAGGGTCCAACCGCGTCCAAGCCCAGGGCCATGCATCTGACGGCATTCCCGGCTTCGCGAGCACCCCGGGGCGCGACGGATGCTTCCGTTCCCCTCCTGGGCTGGGGATCGGGAATCTGGGCTTGCAATCTACATTTCTGAAATCTTGGGGGGTGGGGTGGAGGAGCCGGGCTGGAAACCCAGCGGCTATCCGGTGCAGGGCGTCCGCGGGTCCCGGCCTCCGCCCCCCTGCGGCGAGCGAGGGCCCGGCCCGGGACCGGCCACCGGCCACGAGCAGCGACACCTTAAACCTCGAGCCGGGGCCCTGCCCGAGGGAGCCCGGGACTGGGGTCGACCGCTGCGCGGGAGGCCGAGACGCGGGCGAGGCCGCGGCGCATCCGCTGCAGCCCCGGGCGGGGGAGCGGGCCAGGCCTGCGGGGCGGGCGCCGACACTCACCACACCATGCCGTAGGCGCCCTCGCCGATGTACGAGAGGTTGGTGTAGCGCGGCCCCACGTCGAACACCTGCCCGCGGACCATCTCCGGGCCCGTGCCCGCCGCCGCCGCCGCCGCCATGTTGGCTGCCGGGCCGCCGCCGCCGCGCTGGGCTCGACGCTCCGCGGCCGCCGCTCCGCTCCCGCCGCGCTTCCCCAAGGGACCGCGCCGCCGTCCGTGCAGCCGCCGCAGCTGACCGCCAAAGAGGCAGGACGGCGCCGCTTTCGGGGAAGCGGAGAGCCGACGTCCGCTCGCCTCGACTGCCCGTCTCACTTACTGACTGACGGGCGGGCCCGCGGGCGGAGGGAGGGGCGCGCGCCGAGCAGGGCGCCGGGGCGGGGCCGAGCAGCGTGCTCGAGGATTGGCTGCCTGCGGCTGGGGGCGGGGCCGCGCGGGCCGGCGGAAGCGGCGAGCTCAGGGCGGAGCGCTGCGGCGGCGGCGGCGGCTGCGGAGGAGGCGCCGAAGGGCGCGGTCACGTGCGTTCGCTGGTGAGTCGGCGCGGGAGGCGGCTGAGGAGACGCTGAGAGCGGAATGGGGAGACGGGGCGTCACGGGGCTGACCCTGAGGGGCCGGGGCTGGGGCCGGACGGCGAGCTCGGGCAGTGCGGGGGAAGACGAACGACGCTGCACACGTGGGCTTCGGGCCCTCTGGGGCCCAAACGCTCTGAACAACTTAGGAGGTGTGGAGATTATGTTAGGAACCAGAATACGTGGTCCAGACCGAAGAAGAGATTTGAGTACTGAGAACGTGTGAGACAGGAGAGGCCGAGTGGGTCTGCCCTTAGATCCGCCCTCGTAGAAGATAACTTCCGGAGAGAGGTTTCTCAGGCTGAGGTACTTTCTATGGAGAAATGTCAGGCAGAGTAAGGGGCAGAGAGGAGTGGGTTGAGACACCTGAGGAAGACTCGAGTTGCCACTGTGAGACCGAGACCCATGTTAGGCCGGATGGACATGAGCTTTGAGACGTAGAACGTACTGAGCTGGAAACACCAGGGTGGAATCGCTAAAACCAATAGTCACAGACACATGAGAGGCTGAAAATTAAAAAACTGCAATCTTGAAGCAGACGGATGCCAAGGAAGCTCAGGCCACGCGGTGGAAGATGGGCCAGCCACCGCCTCGGAACCATTTCCTTGCCGTCTGCAGAGGGAAGTGAGAAGGCAGACTCCCCTCATAGCCTTCAGAGCTGCTAATTCGAGACGGCTGGAAATCAATAAAGATTAGCCAGTCAGTCTGGCGCGTTAAAAGCCCTGTGGGAGAGAAAAAAAATAGTGTTACATAAGGGGAAAAAAGTGCTACACCCAAAAGTGAGTTCAAATGTTAGTCCGTGAAGCAGAACCCAATTTTGAAAACACCTAATTCTTATTCTTGATTCTGAAAGGACATTGCATCTCTTTTTAAAAACAGGATGATGAGGCCGGCGCCGCGGCTCAGTAGGCTAATCCTCCACCTTGCGGCGCCGGCACACCGGGTTCTAGTCCCGGTCGGGGCGCCGGATTCTGTCCCGGTTGCCCCTCTTCCAGGCCAGCCCTCTGCTGTGGCCAGGGAGTGCAGTGGAGGATGGCCCAGGTGCTTGGGCCCTGCACCCCATAGGAGACCAGGAAAAGCACCTGGCTCCTGGCTCCTGCCATCGGATCAGCGCGGTGCGCCGGCCGCAGCGCGCCGGCCGCGGCGGCCATTGGAGGGTGAACCAACGGCAAAGGAAGACCTTTCTCTCTGTCTCTCTCTCTCACTGTCCACTCTGCCTGTCAAAAAAAAAAAAAAAAAAAAAAAAAAAAAAAACCAGGATGATGAGGGACTGGCATTGTGGCACAGCAGGTAAAGCTGCCGACTGCAGTGCCAGCACCCCAAGTGGGCACTGGTTTGTATCCAAGCTGCTCCACTTCTGATCAGGCTCCCTGCTAACAGCCTGGGAGTAGCAGTGGAAAGTGGCCCAACACCTGCCACCGACGTGGGAGACTAGGAAGAAGCTTCTGGTTCCTGGCTTTGGCCTGGCCCAGCTGTGGCTGTTGCAGCCATCTGGGAAGTGAAACAGTGGATGGAAGATCTGTGTGTGTATGTGTAACTCTTGACTTTCAAATAAATGAATGAATCCTTAAAAAAAAGGCTGAAGTAAATGGAGAGTATCATGAAATCAAAATCACAATAACCAAGACAAAAGCAATGGTTGAAGGAGTTATAAGAAGGCTTGATAATACAAAAGGGCAAATCAGCAATGTAAAAGACAAATGTGAGGAGATACTTTAAGAATATAGAACAAGTGATGGAATTTTTTTTTAAGATTTTATTTATTTGAGCGGTAGAGTTACAGACATTGAGAGGGAGAGAAGCCAGGAGCCAGGTGCTTCCAGTCTCCTATGTGGGTGCAGGGGCCCAAGGACTTGGGCCATCTTCTACTGCTTTCCCAGGCCACAGCAGAGAGCTGGATGGGAAGAGGAGCAGCTGGGTCTCTAACCGGCACCCATGTGGGATTCTGGCGCTGCAGGCGGAGGATTAACCTACTGCACCACAGCGCCGGCTCCAGTGATGGAATTCTTTAAGAGAAAAGATAATGGAGATGGAGAACATCATGAGGATTCAAATTATAAGCCCCCTCCCCCCCAAAAAAGAGCAAATCAATTAGAAGCAATAATCAAAATTATAATTAAAAAAAAAATTACCCTGGGGCCCAGTGGTGGGACCTAGTGGGTTAAGCTGCTGGCTAGGATGTGGTGCATCCCATGTGGGTACTGGTTCATGTCCTGGCTGCTCCACTTCCAATTCAGCTCCCTACTGATGCACCTGGGAAAGCAACAGAAGATGGCCCAAGTGCTTGTGCCCCTTTTGCCCATGTGGGAGACTTAAATGGAGTTCTAGGCTCTTGGCTTCAACCTGGCCGAGCCCTGGCTGTTGTGGGCATTTGGAGAGTGAACCACCAGATGGAAGTTCTCAGTCTCTCCTTCTCTCTCTAAATCTGCTTTTCAAATAAATAAATAAATCGTTAAAACAAGAAAAAGAAAACTTCCTGGGACCAGTGTTGAAGATGCAGTAGGCCTGTAATGCTAGTATCCCATATGAGTACTCATTCCATTCCCAGCTGTTCCACTTCTGATCCAGTTCCCTGCTCATACACTTTAGAAAAGCAGTTGAAAATGGCCCAAGTGTTTGGGCCCCTGCCACCCACGCAGGAGACCCAGATGGAGTCCCTAGCTCCAATTTCAGCCTGGCCCAGCCTCAGTTTTTGGCCATTTAGGGAGTAAAACCAGCGGCTGGAAGATCTTGGTCTTTCCCTCTCTGTAACTCTGCCTTTCAAATAAATGGTTATGTTTGTTTGTTTGTTTTAACATTTATTTATTTATTTGAAAGGCAGAGTTACGCAGAAGCAGAGAGAAAGAGAGGTCTTCCATCCACTGGTTCACTCCCCAGATGGCTACAATGGCTGGAGCTGAGCCAATCCAAAGCAAAGAGCCAGGAGCTTCTTCCTGGTCTCCCACACAGGTGTAGGGGCTCAAGCATTTGGGCCATCTTCTGCTTTCCCAGGCTATAGCAGAGAGCTGGTTTGGAAATGGAGCAGCCAAGACTCGAACTGGTGCCCACATCGGATGCTGGCACCACATGGATGCCCACTATGTCACAGCAGTAGCCCCGAAATAAATTTTTTTTTAAATAGAAGTATCCTTAGATCTGAAAAGATCTAAGTTAGAGGTAAAATATTGAGTAGATTCATCAGGATTCAGAAATATAAGCACAATCGAACCTCTAGACATAATCTGCAGAAAATGCTAGATTTTAGGGATAAAGAACACATCCTAACAGTGTACAGTGCCGTGTAGGGAAGGAGATTATTTATAAAAGGAGCTAAAATCCTAGCTTTCCCTAGATGCCCTCTCTGCAGAAGTTAAATGCCGAAAGAAAATGGAAGAGAACTGATAGCACTCCCTGGGTGATTACATTCGCTCCAGTGCCTTAGTTCTTGTCAGATCTTGAGCTGATACTCAGCATCCAGCTCTTGAACCTCAGGTTATCCTATCATAAGGACAGCGCTGTGTGATTCCCACAGGTGCTTCAGCTCCACAGAGCCCAACCTCCAGTGGCAGCCGCCCGAGATCTGTGCCTAGACTGCCAGAGGGTTTGCCAATCGTGGCTGCTCCACCTGCCACCTGTGTGACCTCGGCCTCAGTTTCCTCGGGCTTCAGTTGGGCATTACAATACCCACCTCATAAATAAGTTGTACAGAGTAAATAAAATGTGAAGAGCTTCGCACATGGTACATTATGTACCAAATAAATATTATCTGTTATTATTATCTACCCCACCCAAACCTGTTCCACATCTTGAATCTATGAAGAGCATCACCTTCTCCCAGACACTCAGGCTGCCAGTTTGGCTATGATAGTCAACAACATTTTACCTTACTCCTGACGACATCCGCCCCCTCCAACCCCCATCCAACCAATGAGAAACTCCTGTGAGTTCTTCTTTAATGTTTGAGAAGTCTTTACAACGCAAAGCATCATCTCCAGAAGAGCACCTTTAACTTATCTGGGAGTTTGTTAGAAATCCAGTCATCTCGGAGCCAGCATTATGATGTAGCAGGTAAAGCTGCCACCTGTGACACTGGTATCCCATGTAGGCACCCAGATACATCCTGGCTGCTCCTCTGCCAATCCAGCTCCCTGCTGATGGCCTGTTTGGGCCCCTGCCACCCACGTGAGAGACCTGGATGAAGCTCCTGGCGTCAGCCTGACCCTTGGAGCCATGTAGGGAATGAAACAACAGATGAAAGATTCCCTCTCCCTCTCCCATTCCCCCTCCCTATCTGTCTTCCTCTCCCTGTCAGTAGCTCTGGCTTTCAAATAAATCAAAAAGGAAGAGAGAAGAAAAGAAAAGGAGCATCTTAGGCCCACCCCAGACCTACTGATCTGCATTGGAACAAGATCTCCAGGTGATATGTATGTGTATTCCACTTGGAGAACCACTTCAACCTCACTGCCACTCTGTCCATCTATTTTCTTTTCTTATTTTTTTTTAAAGATTCATTTATTTTCTTTGAAAGAGTTATACAGAGAGGGAGAGAGAGAGACACAGAGATCTCCCATTCACTGATTCACTCCCCAGATGACCTCAATGACTGGGGCTGGGGCAGGTCAAAGCCAGGAGCCAAGAGCTTCTTCAGGAACTCCCACGCGGGTGCAGGGGTCCAAGGACTTGGGTTATCTACTGCTTTCCCAGGCCATGGCAGAGAGCTGGATTGGAAGTGGAGTAGCCGAGACTTGAACCAGCACCCACGCGGGATGCCAGCACTGAAGGCAGCAGCTTTAACCTCTACGCCATAGTGGCGGCCCCTTCCCTCCTCTTTTTAAAGCAAACCTTTGGTCCCGGTTACACTCAGTGAGACCTTTTCTAACTACCCCTCCACCCCAATCTCCTCTTCCTCTCCTCTCCTTGCTTTCCCTCTCCCAGCCAGACTAGACTACCCTCAGTTCTTTCCTGTCTTTTGGTCTTAGGTGTATTAACTTCTCACCCTGTTAAGATGTCCTCTCTGCATCTGTCCCGTGTTTGTGGGACATTTTTAAGCAACCACATTGCCATGGCATGATGGCTCTGACCAGAATTTTCTCCAAAGAACTCCTCTTGCCTGGTTCCATAGGCTCCGAGCAACGTTATGATGAGAGTTTGGGTCTACCTATAGGCTTTTTTTTTTTTTTTTAATTTTTTTTGACAGGCAGAGTGGACAGTGAGAGAGAGAAACAGAGAGAAAGGTCTTCCTTTACTGTTGGTTCACCCTCCAATGGCCGCTGCGGCCAGCGCGTTGCGGCCGGCACACCGCGCTGATCCGAAGCCAGGAGCCAGGCACTTCTCCTTGTCTCCCATGTGGGTGCAGGGCCCAAGGACCTGCGCCATCCTCCACTGCACTCCTGGACCACAGCAGAGAGCTGGACTGGAAGAGGGGCAACCAGGACAGAATCCGGCGCTCAACTGGGACTAGAACCCAGTGTGCCAGCGCCACAGGCAGAGGATTAGCCTATTGAGCCGCGGCGCAGGCCCTACCTAGGGTCTTCTGACAAGTTCTCTGAGCTCAGGAGAGCCTGTGCAGGTTCTGTGGCAATTAATGATTATTCTAAGATAGGGTTTAGTGTCAACAGTTTATGCTGAATCAGATTAGCATTAGCCAGGCCCAGGTGCACTGACAATGGCAAATTTCTGAAAGCACAAAGCTGAAAATTTTCCAGAACACTGTGAAACCATACCAGGCTACCATCAAAGCCCAGCTTAGATGGTGGCCAGCTGCCTACCTGGATGTTTTCCTTATTGTGTGTCCAGAGTGGCAACAATCACAGATATGCAAAATCTTAGCAAACTGGTGTTTTGGTCCGAAACATCCAAGGCTAGATAATTTCTGAAGGATAGAAGTTGCTTTGGCTCATGGTTCTGGAGACCATGAACCATATATAAAGAGCCTAGTGCCAGCATCTCTCAGCATATGGAGAGGCCCTCATTGCCTCATGACATGGTGAGACTGAGCAAGCTTGCTAGAGAGAGAGCTCACTTTTATAACAAAGCCACTGCCACAAGAACCCATTATTCCATGAATGAAGATAATCCTTTCACTTGGGTAGAGCCCTCCTGCTCCAGTCAGCTGCCAAAGGCCCCACCTCTCAGGTCGCATTAACATATAACTGGAGATTCAGTTTGCAAGACATCAAATGAACACATAGCAAATGTACATCTGTTATTTTTGCCTGCCCAACATGGACTCTTTCTTCTGGTAACAAGAACCCAATTTTTCTTTGGTGACCTGTCCCTTCTGTGCTTGGTTGGCTGAACCCCCAAGCTCCAAGAGCAAGCAATGACCCATGGCTCGCTAGTCAGAATCACAGATTGTTGGTGCAGGGAGGATGGACATGTGACCTGATCCAGGCCAGTGACACTCAGCTCAGACTTGGCAGAAACGTCTGGAGAAAGTGTAGTTTCTTTCTGCTGGCGTGCTAGGGCAGTGACTGTTGAGTCCGAGGCCAAACATGCTTGATGTTAGAAATGCCCTCTGAGAATGATGGGGAGACAGCAGCAGAGTTAGAGGCAGAACTAGTTTCTTCCTTTTTTTAAGATTTATTTTTTTTTCAAGATCTATTTCTTTATTTGAGAGGCAGCTACAGAGGGAGGGAGGGAGAGCGCGCGAGTGCGCGAGTTTCCATCCACTGGTTCACTTCCCAAATGGCTGTAAGAGCCAGAGCTGGGCTAATCTAAAGCCAGGAGCCAGCAGCTTCTTCCGGTTCTCTCACATGGGTGCTTGGGCCATTTTCCACTGCTTTTCCAGGTGCATTAGCAGGGAGCTGGATTAGAAGTAGAACAGCCAGTACTCGAACCCATATGGGATGCTGGTGCCACAGGCAGAGGCCTAACCTGCTATACCACAGTACCAGCCCCTGGAGCTAATTTCTTGATGCCATAGTTTGAGGCTGGATTTAGCTGAGGCCAGGCTTGATGGGTTCATATGTTAATATATTATCTTTTTTACTCAAGTCAATTGGAGTTAGGTTTCTGTCATTTTGAAACCATGAGAGTTCTGACTAATACCCGCCCAGTTAACTCCCTTTTCTGCAAAAATCACTCAGAATTGTACAATAAATTACTGAGACATGAATCAGAGACTCATGAATGATGAAAAGAGAAAAAGAACTGGCAATGAGCCTTGAAACTTGCTAAAGATACAGAGATAACTGAATAAAACCACCACTCAGTAGAGAATGTTAGATACTAATAAGTTGAAATAATTGTTGTTGCTATGGTAACAAACAAAATGCAAAAGAAAAAATTGAGAAAAGGGATTTTTTAAAATCTGCTTTTTAACCTCAGATTATGTAATGAAAACCAGCGAGGAAGAAAGGGGGAAAAAGCAAGACATTAAGTCTTTGTTTTAAAATGAGGATAAAAGTTATTTTGAAAAATAGTATAATTTCATATAATTTTAAAGTGTAAAATGATACACAGTGTATATAATTATTACATGAGAAAAAATTCACACATCAAAAATGAGGAATCTTTCTTTTAAATATTTATTTATTTATTTGAAAGGCAGAGTGACAGAGAGGCAGAGATATCTCCCATCCATTTGTTCCTTCCACAAATGGTCAGAACAGTTGGCTGGACCAGAGTGAAGCCATGAACCAGGAACTCAGTTAGTGTCTCCCACGTGAATGGAAGGAACTAAAGTACTTTTTTTTTTTTTAAGATTTATTTTATTTATTTGAAAGAGTTACAGATAGAGAGATCTTCCATTCACTGGTTCACTCCCCAGAGCTGAACTGATCCAAAGCCAGGAGTTTCTTCCAGATCTTCCATGTGGGTGCAGGAGCCCAAGGATTTGGACCATCTTCCACTGCTTTCCCAGCCACAGCAGAGAGCTGGATCGGAAAAGGAGCAGCCGGGGCTAGAACCGGTGCCCATATGGATGCCAGCACTTCAGGCCAGGGCTTTAATCCGCTGCACCACAGCGCCGGCCCGAGAACTAAAGTACGTGATCTGTCATCTGCTGCCTTCCAGGTGCATTAGCAGGGAGCTGTATCAGAAGCAGAGTAGCAGGAATGCAACCCGCACTCCAGTGCAGGAACTTACTGCACCTCGACACTGACCCCAGACATCAAGAGTTTTCTGTCAAGAACTGTATTAGACTCTTCTTACATTTGTATATGGAAAAGAAATAGCAAGGATTCATAAACAAAAATATCAAAATACCTGAAAATTTGTCTGGCACTGTGGTGTAGTGTGTAAAGCCACCGCCTGCAGTGCCCAATCCCATATGGGTGCCAGTCTAGTTCTGGCTGTTCCTCTTCTGATCCAGCTCTCTCCTATGGCCTGGGAAAGCAGTGGAAGATGGCCAGTGTCCTTGGGCCCCTGCACCAACATGGGAGACCTGGAAGAACCTCCTGGTTTCAGGCTTTGGATCGGCGCAGCTCCGGCCGTTGCAGCCATCTGGGATGTGAACCAGCAGATGGAAGACCTCTCTCTCTCTTTCTCTCTCTTTAACTCTGATTTTCAAATAAATAAATCAATCTTCAAAAAAAAATCAGAAAATTAGATAAGTAAAGCTTAGAGTAGGTGTAACAAATAATCCAAATAAAAATAAATACATATAAGAAAATAAGCCAATAAAAATAAATAAATATGAAAAAGAAAGCTAGGGGCTGGCACTGTGGCATAGCAGGTAAGACCACCACCTACAGTGCTGGCATCCCATATGGGCGCTGTTTCAAGTCCCTGCTGCTCCTCTTCCAATCCAGCTCTCTGCTATGGCCTGGGAAAGCAGTGGAAGATGGCCCAAGTCCTTGGGCCCCTGCACCCACGTGGGAGACCCAGAAGAAGCTCTTGGCTCCTGGTTTCAGATTGGCTTAGCTCCACCCATTGCAGCCATCTATGGAGTGAACCAGCAGATGGAAGACCTCTCTCTCTCTCTCTCTCTCTGCCTCTGCCTCTGCCTCTCTGCCTTTCAAATAAATAAATACATCATAAAAAAGGTAAATAGCTAAAATTCCTATGTGAAACATGGAACTCTCAGATCACAACAAAGGGAATATGTATTCTGAATATATACTGTCGCTTAAAAGATGTGGAGAGTGGCAGACATTTGGCATAGCAATTAAAGTACAGTTTGGGACAACTGTATCCACGTGCCCAGGCTCCTGCACTTCTGATCAGCTTCCTTCTCATGCACAGACTGGGAGGCAGCAGGTGATGGCTCAAGTACCTGGGTCCCTGCCAGTAATGTGGGAGATGTGGATTGAATTCTGAGCTCCTGGTTTTGGCCTGGCCCAGTTCTGACTGTATTTGAGGAGTGGATCAGTGGGTGGAAGATATATCTCTGTCTCTTTGTTCTTCTCTGTCCCTCTGTCTTTAAAATAAAATGGAAATAAATTATTTTAAAAGAAATATGTGTATATATGGGGGCCGCGCTGTGGTGCAGCAGGTTAAAGCCCTGGCCTGAAGCACCGGCATCCCATATGGGCACTGGTTCGAGTCCCGGCTGCTCCTCTTCTGATCTAGCTCTCTGCTGTGGCCTGGGATAGCAGTAGAAGATGGCCCAAGTCCTGGGGCTCCTGCACCCGCGTGGGAGACCCAGAAGCTCCTGGCTCCTGGCTTCAGATCGGCACAGCTCCGGCCATTGCGGCATCTGGGGAGTGAACCAGCGGATGGAAGAGCTCTCTCTCTCTCTCTGTCTCTACCTCTCTCTGTAACTCTGTCTTTCAAATAAATAAAATAAACATTTTTTAAAAAAGAAATATGTGCATATATATAACATAGCAACACAAAATACAAAGCACAAATCTTCAGAAAGACAACTTTTAGAAAGTTATAGTAAAATACATCACACATCACTATCAGACTGTGAAAGAAAGTAAACAAAATTAGGAATGGGTTGAACAGAATTAACATGGCATAAAAAACGTATTCTAGGGGCTGGCACTGAACTTAGTAGGTTAAGCATCCACTGGAAGTGCCAGCATCCCATATGTGTGCTGGTTCATGTTCTGGCTGCTCCTCTTCCAGTCCAGCTCCCTGCTGATGGCCTGGGAGCAGTAGAAGATGGCCCAAGTGCTTGGGCCCTTGCACCCATGTGAGAGAAGCTCCAGGCTCCTAGATTCAGATCGGCCCAGCTGCACAGCTGCAGCCATTGTGGCCATTTGGAGAATGAACCAGTGGATGGAAGATCTCTCTTTCCCTCTCACTCTTTCTCTCTCTCTCTCTCTCTCTCTCTCTCTATCTCTCCCCCCCCACCCGTCTGTAACTCTCCCTCTCAAGTAAATAAATCTTAAAAAAAATATTCTAAGTTCTGCACACACACAAATATATATATATACACACACACACACACACTAAGGGGTACTTGAAAAATTTCATGGAGGAGTCCGTGCTGTGGCATAGTGGGTAAAGTCATCATCCCATATGGGTTAAGTTTGAGTCCTGGCTGCTCCAATTCTGATCCAGGTCCCTGCTAATTTGCCTGGGAGAGCAGTGGAGAATGGCCCAAGTCCTTGGATCCCTGCACCCACATGGGAGACTGGGAAAAAGCTCCTGGCTCCTGGTTTCAGTCTGGCACATCTCTGGCAGTTGCAGCCATTTAGGGAGTGAACCAGAGGATGGAAGATTCTCTCTCTGCCTTTCAAATACATAAATAAATATTTTTTTAAAAGTTCATGGAAAATCCAATTAAAGAAATTTATTTCAGTGCAAAGAAATTTTTAAATCCATGCATAATCGTCTTGTAATACATACTTTTCATGAACTTTTAAAAGACCTTCTTATACATAAACCCCCTCTCCAAATATCCCTGAAACATTTACAAAAGCTTTTTGGGGGGCCAGTGTTGTGGCATTAAAGGGTTAAGCTGCTGCCTGTGATACTGACATACCATGTGGGTGCCAGTTCACGCCCTGGCTGCTCCACTTCTGATCCAGCTCTCTGCTGTGGCCTGGGAGGACAGTAGAAGATGGCCCAAGTCCTTGGGCTCCTGCACCCACGTGGGAGACCTGGAAGAAGCTCCTGGCTCCTGGCTTCAGATCGGTTCAGCTCCACCCATTGTGGCCATTTGGGGAGTGAACCATCGGATGGAAGACCTGTCTCTCTGCCTCTCCTTCTCTGTGTAACTCTGACCTTCAAATAAATAAATCTTTAAAAAAAATACAACACTGCCCTGGAATCACAGGCTGCATTCAAATCTCACTATCTCATGAGCTCTCTTACCTTCCTGGCCCACATTGAATCCTGGACCCTGTGTTCATTTTTTGTTATCTTTATAGTCTTCTGAAGTCTGTAGCATTTCCTTGTTCCATCCTTCATGACCATTGTTTTTCTCTTCCTTATTAAACTATTTTTTTTAAATTAGCATAGTAAAATTGACTTTATATTCCAATTTTTTAAATTATTTGAAAAATTGACAAAGTGGGAGATGATATAGATGGGGTGGGGGAGAGAGAGAGACAGAGAGAGAGACAGAGAGAATGAGAGATTTTCTAGCCACTAGTTCACTCCCTAAATGACCACAATGGCCAGGGCTGGACCAGGCCAAAGCCAGGAGCCAGGAACTCCATCCTGGTCTCCCATGTGGGTGGCAGGGGCCTAAGCACTTGAAACATCATGCAGTGTCTCCCAGGCACATTAACAGGAAGCTGGATTGGAAGTGGAGCAGCTGGGACTAGAACCAGCATTTCTATATGGGATGCAGGCATCAGGAATAGTGGCTTAACTCACCATGCCACAACTCCAGCCCCTATAAATATGTGTAGATGTATGTGTAATCCCACCACAAGAAAGACATACAACACTTCCTTCACTCCTCCAACCCAAAGAATGTCCTGTGACAGATGCATTTGGGAGGACACTAATATTCAGGGCAGAACTTAAAATACGCTACCTTTTCAGGCAGACTTCTTTGATTTAGCACAATGCCTTTCAGATTCATCAAAGGTGCTGCATACAGCAACAATGTGGTATAACTATTTATATACACACATACATTTTTAGAGATTTATTTAAAAGGTAGAGTGACAGAGACAGAGACTCTCCATTCGCTGGTTCATTCCCCCAAACAACCACAGTGGTCTGGTCTACACCAAAGCCAGGAGCTGGGAATTCTAATTGGGTCTCCATGTAGGTGCTGGAGCCCAAGCACTAGGGCCGTCTTCCACTGCTTTCCCAGGTGCATTAGCAGGGAGCTGGATCAGAAGCTGAGCATCTGGGACTCGAACTGGCACCCATATGGGATGCCAGCATCACAGTCCCTAATGTTGAGATAAAAATTATATACTTTTTAAAAAATATTTATGTATTTATTTGAAAGTCAGAGTTACACAGAGAGAGAAGGAAAGGCAGAGAGAGAGAGAGAGAGGTCTTCCATTTGCCTGCTCGCTCCCCAGATGACCGCAACGGCTGGAGCTGTGCCAATCCGAAGCCAGGAACCAGGAGATTCTTCCAGGTCTCCCATGCTGGTGCAGGGGCCCAAGGACTTGGGCCATCTTCCACTGCTTTCCCAGGCCATAGCAGAGAGCTGGATTGGAAGTGGAGCAGCCGGGACTCGAATCGGCGCCCATATGGAAGACCCCTCTCTCTCTCTCTAACTCTTTCAAATAAATAAATATTAAAAAAAAAAAAAAGAGTGCCAGTTACTTTACACCCTGACCTGCACACAGCAGGGTCTTTTTGGTTTTTATTTTTAATTTCAGCTATCCTGAAAATGACAAAACAGAGGGGCAGGTGTTTAGCATGGTGGTTACGATATTACGAGGGATACCCACATCCCCTCTTGAAGTCCCTGCTCTCCTTGCAATCAAGTCTTCTGCCAGTGTCCACCCTGGGAGGCAGCAGATGATGGCTCCAGTACTGGGTTCCTCCTCATGTTTTCTTCTGAGAGTTCGATAGTCTTACATGTGGATCCATTTTGCACACGAGGCTTAGGCTGAGGTTCATTGTCTCGCCTACGGAGGCCCATTGCTCCGGTACCCCGGGTCACAAAGACAATCCTTTCTGCGCTCAATTACTTTGGTGGCGTAATAAAAGCTGCAGTCTGCAGGAGGTGACGTCAGGCAACACGACCGAATCGGAAGCTCCAGGAATCTGTCCATGGAAACAACTGAACTGATAGCAACTGCCTGGAGCAGTGATTTTGGAACACTCTGGAATCTGGCAACGGCCAGGGCAGAGCTGGGGAGAGAGGCAGGTCAATGTCAATGGAGCTCTTTTTTTTTTTTTTTAAAGATTTATTTATTTGAGAGGCAGAAGTAATCTTCTGTCCGCTGCCTCACTCTCCAAATGGCCACAACAACCGGAGCTGGGACTGTCCAAAACCAGGAGCCAGGAGCTTCTTCCAGGTCTCCTACATGGGTGCAGGGCCCCAAGCACTTGGACCATCTTCCGCTGCTTTCCCGGCCATAGCAGAGAGCTGGATCAGGAATGGAGCAGCCAGGTCTCGAACTGGTGCCTATATAGGCTGGCGGCTCTGCAGGCAGAGGATTAACCTGCCACGCCACAACGCTCTCCCCTGGAGTTGCGTTTCTCACACAGCAGTGGCTGCCTTCCCTTATCCACTGTGGCCAAAGGTTGTGGGGACTGCAATCCCCACTCCGGTGAACAAGAAAAGCACCTGTCTTCCAAAAATCAGGGTTTGATCACCAACAGATCAGCCCTCATCTCAACACTCATGGGTAGAAACAGTGTCCAGACCACAAGAGGATTTAAAGAGATAGGATCGATTCACTTTTCCCCTCTTGGGAGCCATTCATTTCAGTCTCATCAAGTCACTGGCTGAGCCCAGAGAACATGGAAGAGATTTTTCACTGAAAATACACCAGCTGGGGCAGGCGCTGTGGCGTAGCAGGTAAAGCCACCGCCCTCAGTGCTGGAGTCCCACACGGGATCTGGTTTGAGTCCCGGCTGCTCCACTTCTGATCCAGCTCTCTGCTATGTCCTGGGAAAGCAGAAGAAGATGGCCCAAGTCCTTGTGTCTCTACCCACATGGGAGACCTGGAAGAAGCTCTTGGCTTCTGGCTTTGGATAGGCACAGCTCCTGCCATTGTGGCCATCTGGGGAGTGAACCAGTGGATGAAAGATCTCTCTCTCTCTCTCTCTCTCTCTCTCTCTGTAACTCTACCTTTCAAATAAATAAATCTTTTAAAAAATTGAAAGGAAAAAGATGCTATTGGGACGCCTGTGTCCCACGGCAGATAGCCCAGGCTGGGCTCTTGGCTCCATCTCCTGTGACCAGCTTCCTGCTAATTCCTGCCCTGGAAGGCACTGGTGATGGTTCAAGTGGTTGGGATCCTGCATAGGACTGAATTGAAATCAGGAGCCTGGAAGTGCATCCAGGTCTCCCATGTCGGCGGCAGGGGCCCAAGCATTGGGCCACCTTCCGTTGCTTTCCCAGACGCATTAGGGGGGAGCTGAATTGGAAGTGGAGCAGCTGGGACTTGAACTGGGTTGCTGGAGTCACAGGTGGCTACTTAACCTGCTGTGCCACCCAGACAGAGACAGAAACAGACAGTAATCTTCCATCTGCTGGTTTACTCCCCATATGCCCACAATAGCCAGGGCTGGACCAGGCTGAAGCCAGGAGCCTGAAATTCAACCTGAGTTTCCTACATGTGTGGCAGGGACTCAAGTATTTGAGCTCATATCCTGTCCCCCAAGGATATGTATTAGTAGGAAGCTAGAGTCGACATTCAATTTTCTTCTCATTTCAACATAAATTAAAATAGAGCTGTAAAAGTACTGGGTGCCAAGGGGGCTCTGTCTCAGCCTGCATCCATGCGGAGACCCAGGCCATGCGTGGCTGGCTGGAGGCCACAGACCCGATGCTGTGTCCTTCCTAGAGTATCACGTAGGCAGGCACAAGGTGATGAGTTGCTGATGGTGCTAACCACAGTCCCGGAGTCACCCTGTGTCCACCAGATTTTTCCATCCTGAAGCTGTTGTTGGCGTGAGTGTTTGGGCTCACAGTGAAGGCGCCTGCATCCCCCTCTGAAATGCCAGGGTTCCACTCCCAGCTCTGGCTCCTGACTCCAGTTTCCCACCAAGGCAGACTCTGGCAGGCAGCATGATCTCCCTGCCATGTGGGAGACCTGGATTGGGTTCTCAGCTCCTGGCCCTGCCCCAGCCTCAGCAATGGTGGCCATCTGGGGAGTGAACAAGCAGATGGGAACTTTGTCTCTCTGCCTCTCAAATAAATAATAAAAACTATTCTAAAAAGATACAATGTTCTCTTTTGCACTGGATTAAGTAGGAAGATGCTTCAAAAGGTTTACGGAAAATGGAATTAAAATTTAAATTTTTGGCTGGCATTGTGGCGTAGGTTAAGCCACCGTCTGCAGTGTGGGCAATCCCACTTGGGCGCTGGTTTGAGTCCTGGCTGCTCCACTTCAGATCCAGCTCCTAGCTAATGTGCCTGGGAAAGCAGTGGAGGATGGCCCAAGTGCTTGGGCCCCTACACCCACATGGGAGACCTGGAAAAAAACTCCTGGCTCCTGGCTTCAGTGGCCACTTTGAGAGTGAACCAGAAGATGGAAGATTTCTCTTTCTCCCCTCTCTCTGTAACTCTGCCTTTCACATAAGTATAACAAGTGTTTTAAAAAAAAAAAGAAAAACAAATTTATGGGCTGGTACTGTGGCTCAGTGAGTTAAGCTATTGTTTACAATGTCAGCATCTCATACTGGAATGCTGATTTGAGTGCTACCTACTCCACTTCCTGCTAATGTGTTTGGAAAGGCAGTGGAAGCTTGGGCCCCTGCTACCCATGTGGGAGACCAGGATGGAGTGCCTGGCTCCTGGCTTCAGCCTGGCCCAGACCTGGCCATTTGGGGAGTGAACCAGTGAATGGAAGAGTTCTCTGTCACTCTTTCAAATAAACAAACCTTAAAATATATGCATGTGTGTATCTCCCCAAATGGAAATCCATGCAAGATTTTTTCATAATATGGATATCCCATAAAATTTTTAAGACCCTGCATATTCTGTGGAGGGATCTTTGTGAATATGCCAATGCTCCAGCTGTCCATTTTATTTACTTATAAAAATACAAAAATAAAATAAATTTATAAAGACACATACGTGCGTGCGCACACACACACACACATGCACACACACAGAGAAAGCTCCCATCTGCTGATTCACTCCCAAGATGCCCACAGAAGCCAGGAGAGCTAGCCAAGTCTCCTCTGCGGGTGGCGGTAACTCAGCTCCCTGAGCCATCACTGCTGCTTCGCTGGGTGCACACTGGGAGGAAGCCGGAGTTGGGAGGCGGAGGTGGTCTCTCCTCCTGATGGGCACGGGGCAGGAGTGCGACAGATTTTGTGGAAGCCAGTATTTGAAAATACTCCCTAGATTTTGCAATATTCTGTTATCAAACCTCCACCCAGCAGCCTGGGTTCCGATGAATCCACAGTTCTGCCGGGTCCAACCCACTGCCGTGACACCTCCCAAATGGCGCTTTCTCGGTTGCGTCACCCCTTCTACAGCCACCGGGCGCCCTGCAGCGTGAGGGAGAGCTTTCTGCCTCTCCAGTCCGTAAGGACTCGTGGGTGTCTGTGTTTGTCTTTATGTTGATGCTCCAGCTGTCCCAGACTTGATCAGTGACAGTCCCTTCAGGCTCCTGTGTGTGTGTGTGTGTGTGCCAAAGCATTTATGGAAAATGCAGTATCTTTCAGTTTTGTTTTCTCACACACACACACACATATGAAGAGTCTTCAAAGAAGCTCATGGATGGGCTGGCGCTGTGACATAGTGGATATGGCTGCTGCCTGCAGTGCCAGCATCCCATCTGGGCGCCGGTTCGAGTCTCAGCTGCTCCACTTCTGATCCACTCCTTGCTAATGCACCTAGGAAAGCAGAAGATGGCCCAAGTCCCTGGGCCCCTGCACCCACATGGGAGACCTGGAGGAAGCTCCTGGCTCCTGGCTCCTGGCTCCTGGCTCCTGGCTTTGGATCAGCACAACTCCGGCCGTTGCTGCCAACTGGGGAGTGAACCTGCAGATGGAAGACCTCTCTCTCTCCCTCTGCCTCTCCTTCTCTCTGTGTATAACTCTAACTTTCAAGTAAAATAAATAAAATATTAAAAAAAAAAAGACCTGGCTTCTCTACTTTTGATCCAGCTCCCAACTAATGTGCCCGGGAAAAATGTGGACGATGGCCCAAATGCTGGGTCCTGTTGCCTGCATGGGAGATAGAGATGCAGTTTCTGGTGCCTGGTTGCGGCCTGGCCCAGTCCTGGTTGCGGTGGGCAGTTGGGGAGTAAACCAGGGATAGAAGAGCTCTGTCTTCCCTCTCTGTTGCTCTGCCTGTTCAAGTAAACAAATAAATCTTAAAAACAAACAGCTCCCATTCACTGGTTCACTGCCCAGATGCCCTCAACGGCCTGGGCTGAAGCTGGGAGCTGGGAGCTAAACCCAGGCCTCCCACATGGTGGCATGAACCCAGGTCCTTGAACCATCATCATCGTCGCCAGCAGGAATCAGGGGTCAAGAGTGGAGCCAAGTATCGAACCCAAGGACTCTGAGGGCGGACATGGGTGTTTTTATTTCTAGGCCAAATGCCAGCAAACTCTGTGCAGTGTCCACATATACAGAGAGGGGGAGGGAGATGAGAGAGAGAGTGAAGTCACACCAGCATCCTCAGTTCCTTGGGGCTCCATCTAGCTTTCTCCTTGCTGCATTTGCAATTTCCCTCCCCAGCACTGAGAAGCCTGGCTTCCATTACCCTCAATATATTGGGCTCCATTTTCCAACTACACCAGCTGCCTCCTTGGCTCCCAGCCTGTTGGCACCTCAGAAGGAAGAGATGGCAGAGGGAGGGAGGTGAGGGGACAGGAGCAGGAGGTGGGTGAAAGTGCTGTGCAGCCTGGCCCTCCACCCTACCCTGACCTCCTTTCTGCTTGGTTCCGCCCACCACCCACCACTCACCAAGCCTTGCAGCCTCAAGCAGCCCTGGGCTCTCCCTGCCCCAGCCCCTTCTTGGGCACACTCATTCCCTCAGCTTCTAAGAGGGCTTCCTGCCCTTTTTCCCTCCCTCCCTCCTTTTTGTTCTTTAAAATTTATTTATTTAAACAGCAGAGTTACAGAAAGAAGGGGAAGAGACAAAGACAGAAATCTTCCATCTGCTGGTTCCCTCCCCAAATGGCTGCAATGCCAGAGCTGAGCCAGGAACTTCATCTGGGTCTCAGGTGTGGGTGGCAGGGACCCAAGTCCTGGGGCCATCATCTGCTGCCTTCCCAGGTGCCTTAGCAGGGAGCTGCATCAGAAGTGGAGCAGCAGGGCTGGTACTGTGGCATAGCGGGGTTAAACTGCCACCTGTGGTGCCATCATCCCATATGGGTGCCAGTTTGAGTCCTGGCTGCTCTACTTCTGATCCGGTTCCCTGCTAATATGCATGGGAAAGCAGTAGAAGATGGCCCAAGTGCTTGGGGCCCTGCAGCTCTACGGGAGACCTGGAAGAAGCTCCTGGCTTTGGCTCAGCTCAGCTCCAGCCGTTACGTTTGGGGAGTGATCCAGTGGACAGAAGATCTTTCTCTCTGTCTCTACCTCTCTGTCTATAACTCTGCCTCCCAAAATAAATAAAAAATATTTTTTAAAAAGTTTATTTATTTACATTTACTTAAAAGGCAAAGTGACAGAGAAAGAGAGAAATTTCCCATCTGCTGGTTCAATTCCCCAAATACCCACAACAACCAGAGGTAGGCCAGGCTGAAGCCAGGAGCCAGAAACCCCATCCAGGTCTCCCATGTGGGTGGCAGAGACCCAATTACTTGGCCCGTCACCTGCTGCGGCCAGGGTGTGCATTAGCAGGGAGCTGGGATCTGAAGAGGGGGAGCCAGGATTGAAACCAGCACTCAATATGAGAGATGGGAGTGCCAAGTGGTGACTTCACCCCCTGTGCCAAATGCCCCCACCCCAATGTGTTAAGGATGCCCGTGGAGGGCACGGGGAGGAAGGGGAGCCATTTGGCAGTTTGATATTATTTCTACCATGTCATCCCTGAGCTTATAACACCCAAGTCTCAGATGCTCAAATCTTAGTAAAGGAAAAAATAAAAATAAAAAAAGAGGGTGGAGAGGTGCATGGTGACCTCCACGGGAGCTCCAGGGGAGACAGGCCACACTTCTCCCTCCTGCAAACAACACTGCTGCAGCTCTGCGGCCCAGCAGTGGGGGGTCGGGGGTGGCCTTGGGTCCAGCAAGAGGGGCCAACCCCAAGGTCAGGTGTGTGCACTGCATCCCAGAACCTCAGAGGTGGTGGAGGCAAGAGAAGAAAAAAAACAAAAACCAGCCACGGCTCCCCCCAGGCCTAACCCTGGGGAAGCTACCATCAGCACGGAGGGGTGCCCAAGGCCATGGAAGTTGGCAGAGCTGTGTTCCAGGCCAGGTCTTTGCCTTCTGCCCCTCTGGCTGCCTGCAGATGGAGGAGTCCACCGTGGCCTTGCCCACCTTGGTGAAGCACGAGTTTCACCTGGTGGACGTGATGGACTCACGTGGACACCACCTCGGGGGCAGGCCCTGGGCGCAGGACGGACAGACGAAGAGAAGGTGGCCCCTGTTTTGTTTATTCCTCGGTTGTGGAGGCCGGGCAGTCAGGAGTGTGTGGCCGGCATCCAGGGAGGGCTCCTCGTGAGCTTGGGTCCAGTGGGGAGCTGGATCTGAAGTGGAGCATCTGGGACTCAAGGTGGTGCTACCATATGGGATGCCGGCAGCGCAAGCAGCAGCTTAACCCGCTGCGCCACTAGGCTGGCCCATTTCGCTATTATGCTTGCTAGCTCATCTCTGACATCCATATTCTGTGTATCGTTGGCTTCCTTTTTGTTTGTTTATTTTTGGAAATGGAATAAAAGATAAGTTGGGGGGGGCGGGTGCTGTGGAGTAGTTGGTAAAGCCTCTGCCTGCAGCACTGGCATTCTATATGGGCACCGGTTCAAGACCTGGCTGCTCCTTTTCCAATCCAGCTCCCCGCTAATGCGCCTAGCAAAGCAGCAGAAGGCGGCCCAAGCCCTTGAGCCCCTGCACTCATGTGGGAGACCCGGAAGAAGCTCTGGGCCCCTGGCTTTGGATTGGCCCAGTTCTGGCTGTTTAGGCCATTTGGGGAGTGAACCAGTGGATGGAAGACCTCTCTCTCTGTTTCTCCCTTTGTCTGCCTGTAACTGCCTCTCAAATAATAAATCTTTAAAAAGAAAAGATAAGCTGGTTTTGGTGTAAAAAATTGAAATCCACATATAGTTTTTTAAGAATACATTTCTTCCATGATTTTTTTTTTTTTTTTGACAGACTGGACAGTGAGAGAGACAGAAAGAAAGGTCTTCCTTTGCCGTTGGTTCACCCTCCAATGGCCGCCGCAGCCGGCGCGCTGCGGTTGGCGCACCGCGCTGATCTGATGGCAGGAGCCAGGAGCCAGGTGCTTTTCCTGGTCTCCCATGGGGTGCAGGGCCCAAGCACTTGGGCCATCCTCCACTGCACTCCCTGGCCACAGCAGAGGGCTGGCCTGGAAGAGGGGCAACCGGGACAGAATCCGGCGCCCCGACTGGGACTAGAACCCGGTGTGCCGGCGCCGCTAGGCGGAGGATTAGCCTAGTGAGCCGCGGCACCGGCCTCTTCCATGATTTTTTTTTAATGAGCCCTTGTTTGTACACTGAGTTCTCACTAAAATCCATAGCTCAATCTTTTTTCGTCTTCAGCAACTTCCCTATGTTAGCTTAGTTTGTCAGCACACATGAAGGTGCCTTTCATTTCAAGAGCTTATTTTAGTTTAGTTTTGAGAGGTGGAGAGCTAGTTGGAGGAGACTTCTTAGCTCCTGGTTCACTCCGCAAATGCCTGCTGAAGCCAGCAGCCAGGAACTCGATTAATCCGGGAGTCCATCTGGGTGGCAGGGACCCACTTATATGAGCTATCACCGCTGCCCCCCAGGGGCTGTTAGCAGGAAGCTGCAGTCAGGAGCTGGAGTTGGAGATTAAATTTAGGACTTCTGAGGTGGGGACATAGGTATCTTATCCAGTGCCTTGACCACATGCCTGTCCTGAGGTTTTACTTCTAAAAATTACTTATTTGGGGCCGGTGCTGTGGTGCGGAGGGTTAAAGCCCCAGCCTGCAGTGCTGACCTGGAAGAAGCTCCTGGCTTTGGGTAGGCTTACGGTTGGCTCAGCTCTGGCCACTGTGGCCATTTGGGGAGTGAACCAGTGAATGGAAGACCTCTCTCTCTCTCTCTCTCTCTCTCTCTAACTCTGCCTTTCAAATAAATAAATGAATAAATAAAGAAAAAGAGGCACAGAGACAAGTAGAGCTTCTATCCATCATCCATTGGTTCATTCCTCGAATGCCATAAGCAGCCGGGGCTGGGCCAGGCCAAACTTGGGAGCCAGGAACTCTGTCCAGGTCTCCCACATGGGTGGCAGGGACCCAAGTACTTGAGCCATCATTTGCTGCTGCCTCCCAGGTCCGCATTATCAGGAAGTTAGAATTGGGAGCAGGGCTGGGACTTGAACCCAGGCCCTCCGTTATGGGATGAAGGGAGGGTCTTAAATGCTACATCAAATACCCGCTTCAAGGTTTTGCATCTGAAACTGCATTTTTAAAGATAATAGAAGAAAAATTTTGAGATGCCCTAAATATAGTGACGAGCTGGAGGGTTTGGGTTGGGGGTGGGGACAGAGATGGGTTGATCAATTTGTTAGCAGACGTGGGCAAAACCAACAAGAACACTGAGTGGAAAACTTGACTTAAAACACCATCGAAGTGACCACAAGGGAGGGCCCCATGCCCTGTTTATGCATTTGGGATGGTGAAACCCAACCAACCCAGGAGCAGCGCTCACTTGTCCCGGCCTGGGACCCTCCAGTCCCCAGGATGCCCTCCCGCCCTGGCTGGGACCCTCCAGTCCCCAGGATGCCCTCCCGCCCTGGCTGGGACCCTCCAGTCCCCAGGATGCCCTCCCGCCCTGGCTGGGACCCTCCAGTCCCCAGGATGCCCTCCCGCCCTGGCTGGGACCCTCCAGTCCCCAGGATGCCCTCCCGCCCTGGCTGGGACCCTCCAGTCCCCAGGATGCCCTCCCGCCCTGGCCCCTTGTCTGTAGCCAGCAGGTCACTGGAAACCACTTAGGTCTTCCTTCCCACATTTTCATGATTTTTTTTTTAAAAAAAAAAACAACAGCTTAGTTCTAGACCACAAGGATATTTTTCCAACTCCTACCTGGTCTTGCTGCTGGGAGCTAGAGGGAATTTGTCCCAGGCCCTTGTCCTTTTTCCTAGCTAGCATCTGCAGCGGTTCAAGAAACCCATTCAAATAAATTAAAAAGTATATATATTTAAATAGCAGAGAAAGAGAGATTGCCATCCATTGGTTTATTCCCCAAAAGCCAGGGCTGGGTCAGACCGAAGCTAAGAGCCAGGGACTCCAACTGGAGGGTCTCCCATGTCAGTAGCAGGGACCCAAATACTTGAACCAGCAACTGCTGCCTCCCAGAGCGTGCATTAGCAGGAATGCCAGACTGGGAAGCAGAGCAGGCACTCTGATATGGGATGCAGGCATCCTAAGCAGTGTCTTTTTTTTTTTTTTTTTTGACAGGCAGAGTTAGACAGTGAGAGACAGAGAGAGAGAGCGAGACAGAGAAAGGTCTGCCTTCCTTCTGTTGTTTCACCCCTCAAATGGCTACTACAGCTGGCGCTGCGCCCATCTGAAGCCAGGAGCCAGGTGCTTCCTCCTGGTCTCCCATGGGGTACAGGGCCCAAGCACTTGGGCCATCCTCCACTGCCTTCCCGGGCCACAGCAGAGAGCTGGACTCAAAGAGGAGCAACCGGGACTAGAACCCGGGGTGCCGGTGCTGTAGGCAAAGGATTAGCAAGTGAGCCGCGGTGCCGGCCTCCATTTCAGCCACCTTTTAAAGTTCCTGCATGTGACTAAAAAAAAAATGAGTTTTTTTGTTTGTTTGTTTATGTGAGAATTACAGAGCAAGAGAGAGGGACAGAAACAGAGAGATATTCCATCCATTGGTTCACTCCCCAAACGGTTACAACAACTGGGCCAGGCCAAAGCCAGAAGCCTGGAACTCCATCCTGGTCTCCGTACATGGGTGGCAGGGGCCTGAGCGCTTGGGCCATCCTCTGCTGCTTTCCCAGACACATCAACAGGGAGCTGGATCGGAAGAGGAGCAGTTGAGACTCAAACCGGCGCTGGTGTTGTAAGCGGCGGCTTCACCCACTGTGCCGCAACGCCAGCTCCGGTTCATTTTGTATTCCGACCAGAAATACCCGCGCACAGCAATCGTCTGTGTGATGCGTTGCAGTTAAGGCTGCATGCTGCTGGACTGCATGCGCCAGTCACAGAGCCGGGTGTGCGGGGAAAGTCGCCAGGGTCTCCGCACTACAGATGTCGGGGCTGTGGTGTGCAGGTGCTTGGATCCCGCCCCTGGTGCTGGGCCAAGAAGAGGGCCATTGCCAGACGCTGCTGGGGTCTTCAGCACTGACAGAAACCTGAGCCTGGAGGGTGGGTGAGGAGGTCTGCCTGGAAGCGCCGTGGGGCAGGGTGGGGCCCTGCGCTGCTCCTGGAGCTGCAGCCTTCACCCAGTCAGACACTTCCTCAGGGCTGGCTCCCAGGGCCAGATGTTCAAGGCTCCTACCAGGTTAAGTCCCAGGAAACAAGATCCCAGGGTGGCTCTGAGAGCAAAGGCCCGTCTGAGGAAACCTTGTCCTGGATTGGATTCAGAGTCTAGCTGTGCCCCCAGACCAGCCAACTGGGATGCAAGGAGCCTACAGGGCCAATGGGGGTCCTGGGGGTCCTGGGACCCCAAGGGGAACTCTGGGAGTGGGCCAGACCTCTGCCCTGCCTCACTCCAGAGGGAACTGGCTCGTGGGCTCTCTTCGCCAGGCTGAACCTCCCACTTGATGGGCACGAGGCCCAGTCCCTTCTACCGCAGCAGGTGCCCTGTCCTTGGCTCGGCACTGGGCCTCCTCGCAGGGGCTGGCTTACGCCCCCTCGACCCCCACCTCACCTCCACTTGCCATCGCAGTGGGCTGGTCCCACAGCCGTGTTCCCTCCGTGACCTTGAGACACAGGGCTGCCCGGGCTGTGTGGCAGTGGGAGAGCGCGAAGCCACCATCTGGGTGTGGAGACAGACACCTGAGTCCACACGCTGGGAACAAGCAAGACAGCACCCCTGCCTTGTGCTGTGAGGGAGCCGAGGCGGGCGGGGGGAGGGGGAGGCTTTCCTGGCTGCAGCCTTGTGCACTGTCTGGGGCACAAAGGTCTGGGCTCCAGGTCACAGGTCTGGCGCTCAGGGAGGAAGGTCACAGGTGGTCCCTGACACTTGGTCAGATGCGGTGACCTGGAGGCGGGTTCTGGGAAAGTGTCCAGGCAGCCAGGAGGGTGCAGTCCCTCCGGCCACAAAGCCACCCTCCATCGGGAATGTGAGCCCAGGAAGCCCCGCCCACCTGTGAATCCCACGTGGATGGGAGGCTGGATGCTCCTGGGGCTCCCCAATGTTGTACAAGTCTCCAGGGACTCACCCCCTCTGTCCTGCTTCTGCTGGGAGGGAGGGGTCTGGGCGTGGCTGGCGAACTCCCCCAGCTCCTCAGCACCCTTCGCACAGCCTTGGGGGCGCCGCCGGGTCCGGACGCACAGGGGTGAGCGAAAGGAGACCAGGACGCGGGCGCCAGGGTTTCAGAACGCGGGGTTTATTGACACCTGGGCACGGTGGGCCCTTCCATCCCGGGACTCAGGCGTTTGAGACTCCCCGCCGCGCCTCCCCGGGAAACCCACTCAGGCGCGTGCGCAGAGACCCTCGGCAAGGTTGGCGTGGGCACGTGAACAGCGAAGCTCGGCGCATTTGGCAAAGCTGTGGAGCCGTGGCAGGCAGCACGGGACTCCGGCGGGAGGGGGCGGGGCAGGAGAGGTGGCAGAATCCAACCAAACCAGGAACAGCTTATTGTACGTAGGCTCCCCTGGCTCCTGGGAGGCCTGGGGACACTGCTGAGGTAGCCGGGACACCAGGACACGGGGTGGGGAGGGCAGGGGCTCGCCTGCATCTCTCCCCACCCTTGACCCTCTCCCCAGAAAGCCACACCCATTTCCTATGCTGGGTTCTGAGAGCCGGGCCAGACTCCGCGATGGGATTCCTAGTGGGGTCTGAGCAGAGCCCTCCGGGAGCTGGACCGCAGCCTCCCTGGGGGGGCCCCCCCTGCAGCTGTACCTGTGAAGGCGCGGCTGAGTTCTCCAGCTATTGTATTCCATATAAGGCGCTGGCATCTGCAGCTCGGCTCTTTTCCAACCCACTTAATTTTAAGAATAGACACTAATAATACTTAATCACCCCTCCCCACTGGCAGCGCGGGAGGGGCCTCTGTGCTACGGTGCCAGCCTCACCCTCCCTCCTCCCCTTCGATGGAGCCTGGCTCACCCCGAGTATTCCCTGCACCTCCAGAATTTCAGCAGGTCAGAGCTGCCAGAGGCTCAGGACCCCCCACCCCCGACCCCCCGCACCTTGCAAAACCATCTGCCTGGCTCGCATGGATGAGCTGGTGGCCATACTGAGATCTGAGAAGGGTTTCAGAATATTCCAGACCATTGTGCCTGCCTAGAGGGGCCCAAGAAGTTCTTCGGCTGAAGATACCTGGGCCGA